CCTTTCCCCGTCATCCTTGCCTGGCGGTACCCAACGCCTGAAGCTGGGACAGACCACGCCTGTTCCACATGCACCCCGGGCAGAAAGGCAGGCGCTGGGCAGAGGACTGCAGATGCATGGTGATGGTGCTGAGTGCTCCCACCGGCTTGTCTTCCCAATCTTGGCTTCTGATCTTCTTTCCCTTCTGCTGGGAACCTCTGCTCAGCACTGAGAGGGAAGGTGTGGGTGCTGCCTCCTGGCTGTGCCCCCGCCGGGCCTCACCTCTTCCCTCTCCTGGAGCAGTTGGTGTCCTCAGCGCAGGTTCGTGCCCAGTCTATGCCCGGCAAATCCCTTGGAGCTGCCCAGAAGCAGCTCCTTCCAGACGGCTTTCCTGCCAGCACTCTTCCACCACCCAGATTTCTTTTCTTACTCATCGTTCGTGTCTCTGTAACTGGAACGGGCGGTCCTCGAGAGAAGGTGCCTTAGGTCCCTCCCAGTGTGCCTACAACCTTCACAGAGCACCTGACACACAGCAGGGCCTCCCGAGGCTTTGTGTACATCTAGAGGACGACTCCAAACTCACTCTCGCATGGCACCATCTCACCTCCCTCCGGGGACCCGTCCATTCCCACAGTGACCTTTGAAGCATGTCTGCCTGTCAACATGTCTCAGCACAGTCTGGCCATGCTCACCCATGTCCACCTGCTGACTCATGGCAGCTAGCACACTTCTTGCAAATGACAGAAACTCACACATTTGTTTGAATGAGTAAACAGTAGCCAAAAAAGAAAAAAAGAGTGTTTACCGTGCTCTGCGTTAGCAGCCAGCAGGTCACCCGGCAATATTGAGATGAGAGCCGCCACTCAGACATCTCCACCTCCCGGGAGCCGTGCTCTGTGCGGCCCTGGCAGGGTGCCCAGGATAAAGGGCATGGCCAGCACCTGCGGCCTGCTCTGGGCCCCAGTACTGGTCCCCTGAGTCTGCATGAGGCTGCAGCATCCCAGAGGCTTCTGCTCTACCTCTGGGGACCTTTGCTCCATTTGCAGACGTGGTTTCCTTCCACCTGCAGTGTGTGGTTTACTCCAGAGCTGCCTGCTCAGCACAGGGCGGACCTCAGCCAAGCTGTCCATGGTGCTCTTCCTAAGTGAGCATCTCCCACCCTGGGTCAACCCATGGCTCTGCTGGGGCCTGGCTGACTCGCACTGGGGCTGGCCCCCACCTGTACCCCCACTTCTCTGCCCTCCGACTTCAGCATATGGGTCAGGAAGGCAGACACCCAAAGGCCTCTTGGGTCCTCAGCCTTGATCTCTACCACGTCCCCGCTTAAGTATCAAGAAAACGCATTGGCCACATGAATAATTCCTCACTAACAGCAGTGGCAGAAACCGGAACCAGAAACCCTAGAGGGCTGGAGTGGGGAGGGCCAGCTGGCTCGTGAACAGGCAAGTTTCTGCTGGTCCCAGTTCTGCTCTGCAGACCTGAAGCCGCCCCTCTAGCCCCTCCAATCCTAACACCCTACCCTAGTTACATCCCCAGGCCCCAAGGACCTCCTTGCCCAGGTCCCTGCGCCTCGCTCCCTGTCGGGACGCGAGAGTGAGCTGTGTTTTGCTAGTCTTCATAATCCATTTAAGCAGCCTTGATCTCCCACAGCCCTGCTTAAATATCAGGAAAACGCACTGGCCTGTGGAAGACCTGGCCTGAAAGTGGGTGCTGAGACGGGGAGGGGCCCTGGGAGCAGTCAGACCCACACAGCTGCGTCAGCTGGGAGCTGGGGTAGGAGGCAGCAGAGGCCACTCCCTCGGGGTGGATGCTGGGACTGGGCAGTCTCTGGTTTGACCTGTTCACTGTGGTTCCTGAGTTAACCTGTGGACAAGTGGGCCATTCCCCGAGGGTGGAGGGGACTGGGGGCTTTTCTCCCACCTGCCCTTCCCAGGCCAGGGCCGTGAATTCCTGACCTGGCGCACACATGTCTGTCTGTCAAGCTCTCCAGATACAGTGGGGCAGAATGACCAAGGTGGCCTCCAGGTCCCTGAGAAGGATACTGCTGCAGAGGTTAATCTGATTTTCTGGCACCTAAAGCCACTAGGCTGAAGCCAAAAGGACAAAACCACCTGAAGCATCCAGGAGGACAGAGACGGGCACCACAGAGGGGAGGGGGGGGTCAGGGAACGGCCCGGCTCACTTGTGGCTGCACGGGGAGAGTCCTTCCTCAGGGAGGGCAGCGCTGGGGACAGCTGGGCACCCATGCCTTTGTAAAAATGCTGCCCCACGCTTCAGTCTCTGCGTTTATGGATTTGGGAGTTTTATGACATGCCTGCGGCCAGCGCTAGAACTATGAATATTAAAGACCCATTTCCTGTTGTGGTTTCAAGTGTTAAGGCCCAAGACAGAAGATGAACTCCAGAAACACAGAAATCATAAGACAGGCTGAAGAAATTCTGCATGGAAAGGAAAACCAACTTACTGCTTCCCACAAATCTGTAATAATATGGAAAAATATAATAATAAAGTGCCATTCCTGCAGACTTTGAGAGCGTTTCTTCCATCACGCTCAGAGAGGAGCTCCTCCAGTCATTTGCTTGCAACCTTAGCCTCACACTGCATCTTTCTTTCTCCCCATGTGTTAAAAGCATGGAAGACCAGAAAACAGAAAAGCAATCAAAGCTTCTGAAAGGAAACACAGCCTCTGGAGGTCAAGGACACAAAAAACAACCAAAGACACTAGGTGGCAGAGGCCCGGCAGGTTGGAGCACAGACTTAGTGATGAGGGGCCCAGGGGTTCCCCCACTGGGAGAGGGGACAGCCGTTCCAAGCTTGGCGTTTTCCTCTGCACTTCCTGCCTTTCTCTGCAGAGCAAGCTCCTCGCCCACCAGGCAGGGGAAGGAAAAACAGGACGGCCACGGTTGGCACAGGGCTGTCCAGGTTTTGGAAGCTCAGGACTGGGTCGGGGTGAAAGGTCAAGTGCACCTGGGTTTGGGGACCTGTTCTGCTGATGCAGTTTGGCTGCAGTTTTTATTTGGTGCTGATGACATGTTTCCAAACAGCCAGCCAGGTGTTTGCAAATACCTAAGACCTTTTGGAAGACTCTGGCTAGGGTGGGAGGGGTGGGGAAGCCTGCTTTCTCCCCCACCCCACCTTTGATCTTTATTTGAGACAGGGTCTTATTCTGTTGCTCAGGCTGGGGCGCAGGGGTGCAATGACAGCTCACTGCAGCCTCAACCTCCCAGCCAAGCCATCTTCCCAGCTCAGGCTCCCAAGTAGCTGCCCCACAGGCATGCACCACCATGCCCGGCTATTTAAAAAATATTTTATAGAGGTGAGGTCTCACGATGTTGTCCAAGCCCGTCTCAAACTCCTGAGCTCAAGTGATCCCTTCTGCCTCAGCCTCCCAAAGCACTGGGATTACAGGCGGGAGCCACCGTCCAGCCCTGCTTCTGCTTACTTCCCCTCCGAGAAGACTAACAGGGTGCTGGGACCCCAGAAGGGAGAAGAGCCCCCGTAAACTCTTTAGCTGAAAGGAACTAAAAATATTCCCCCGTATTCGTGGTGTATAAACCTGGGACAAAGAAAAAGCACTTAGAACGATTAAGGAAAACTTGGGGACTCTTCATTTCTCTGAAAGCCTTTCAAAACCAACTGACTCCCAGATAACCTCCGTGCACGCGCGTGTGTGTAAGAGTGCGTGTGTGTGGCGGGGAGGGGGGGCAGGGGGGCGACTGGGAGATCTGTTCTCATCCCAGATCCTCCGGGCCCTCCTCCCAGGCGTCCGCCAAGGCAGGACAGTCTCTTGAGAAGGGTTCCAAGTTTTGTGCCAACTTCCCTGAATTCTCGCTCCCACTTCTGAGAAGTATTTAACACAAAGAAACACGACTCGAGGCTCGATCCAGACTCTAATGCCCAAGTGGATCCTCACGTTTATCTTCGCCCATACTCAGTGTCCCCTTGAGAAAAGGGTTTCGGTGCTGACATGGCAGCGGCCGCGCGCAGGAAAGGGGCCCCGCGCCCCCCCATCCCCGGCCCGCGCGCCCCCCATCCCCGGCCCGCGCGCCCCCCTATCCCCTCCCCGCGCCCCCCATCCCCTGCCCGCGCGCCCATCCCCTGCCCGCGCGTCCCCCCCATCCCCTGCCCGCCCCCTCCCCGGGCGGCCGGCCGGCCGGGCTCCAACACCGCCCGTGGGGACGCCAGTGCCACCGAGGTCGGGGCCCGGCGGGCCGCGGGCGGGAGGCTCCTTGCGGCGCGGCGGGGGCTTCCCGAGCGGCTGGCCGCGCTTCCTCGGGTTTCAAGTTTCGAACTTGCCGAACATCTGAGATTTTAACAGCGAAAGCGGCCGGCGTCCCCGCGCGCAGGCGGCCTCTCGGGGCCTGGGGCGTCCGGGCGTGGACGCCGAGACTCGCGTGTCCCGCGCCCTGCAGCGCCCGGGGGCCTCCGCGCCGCCCGCCCCTCCAGCGAGCCGGCAAGGCCCCCGGGCCCCCGCACGTCCGGACACCGGGAGCCAGGACCCACGCGGGCCGCGCGGAGGGCCCGGCGACCCCCGCCCGAGAGCCGTCCCCACCCGGAGGGGGCGAGCCGAGGGCGCCCTCGGGACCCGGCCCGAGTCCCCGCGAGCGGAGGGCAGGCCGCCCGCAGTGCCCCCAGCGCCCGGGAGGGGGCGCCCGGCGGAGCGCAGGCGGGCGGGCCTCGGGCGGCGGACGCTCCTGACGTCACCGGCCCGCGGTCGCCAGGGCGACGGCCTCATCCCGCGCGCGTCAGAGCCGCCAGTCTCTTGGCAACCGCCCGATCTCCCGCTCTCCCTCCGCCCAGCGCTCGACCGCGCGTCGCTCTGGCGTCAAAGTGACGTCAATGGGCGGCCCCCGCCCAGGCGGCGGGGGCGGGGCAGGGGGCGGGGCCCGAGGGGCGGGGCGGGGCGGGGCCGGGCGCCGCGTGCGGCGGAGCGCGGCGGCTCCGGGCTGACATGCGGCGCGGCCCCGGAGGCGGCAGCAGCGGCAGCGGCGGTGGCCGGAGCGGTAGGCGCCCGAGCAGCGCGAGCGGCCGAGCGGGCGGCTTCCCGGCCTGGGCGCTCCGGGGGCGGCGGAGGTGAGGCGGCGGCGGCGGCGGCGGCGGCGGCGGCGGGCTCCGGGCTCCGGGCTCTGGGCGGGCTGGGGTGGCCGCCGTGGGGGCTCCGCGCGGGCGCCGGGCCGGGGCTCGGGGTTGCGGCCACTGCGTAGGGTCCGCGGTCGTCCGCGCGCGGGGGGTCGCGGGCCGGGTCGGTGGCCCCGCCGCCCGCGGGCTCCCCTTTGTTGCATGGGCCGTGGTGGGAGCGGGTCCGCGGGGCTCGGGGGCTGGGGATCCGGGGGTCGGGTTGGAGCCGACCACGGGCGGAGGGGCCCGGCGTGGGGGGCGGGTCCGCGAGCCCGGCGGTGCCGGGGAGGTCGGGGGTGGGGACAGGACGGATGGCGGCGGCGGGGGCCGGGTGTGGGAGCGGGGCTGGGGGCGGTCCTGGGATCCGGATCTAGTTGACCTCGGGCGGCAGGGCCGGGTGTGGGAGCGAATCCGCGCCCCGAGGTGCCGAGGGGGTCGTGTGCGGGTACGGAACCGACAGCGGGCGGCGGGGGGTGAGGATGGAAGCGGGGCTCAGGGGTCCTGGGATCGGGACGGAACTGAACTCGGGCGGCGGGGGCGGGTGTGGGAGCGGGTCCGCGCGCCCCGCGGGGCTCAGGGGGTCGGGGGTCCGGGTGGAGCGGACCGCGGGCGGCAGGGGCGGGTCCACACCTCTCCCGGGGCTGGAGGGGCGGGTGGATAGAGTGGCGGCGGCAGGCGTGGGGACTGGGGGCTCCGCGGGCACGGATGGAGTCGACCGCAGGCGGCGGGGGCGCTGGTGGTCTCTGAGCGTTGTGCGACCCCGCAGGTGCGCGAGGAGCCATGGTTATCATGTCGGAGTTCAGCGCAGACCCCGCGGGCCAGGGCCAGCAGAAGCCCCTCCGGGTGGGTTTCTACGACATCGAGCGGACCCTCGGCAAAGGCAACTTCGCGGTGGTGAAGCTGGCGCGGCATCGAGTCACCAAAACGCAGGTGAGTGGGGGCGGCGGGACACAGCGGGCCGGGCTTCCCCACTGGGCCCGGGTCGACCCCAACCTTGGCAGGTGGACCCCATGCAGATTCAGCGCTCCAGGCTTGATTGTCGTGGTAAACAGTCACCGTTTTTTAGTTCGGTAAAGAATAAAAATGTTTTATATTGTGTTTTTGCATAATTCGCACAAACGTTCGGAGAAAGCAGGGAGGATAATGGCAAATAAAGAACCATCCTGAGAGTGCAGTGATTCCTGGACTCAGCTGAGCCCTGTAAAGTGAGCCTGTAGATGCTTAAAAAGCTCTGACTTAGCTCCGATTACTTTAAATAACGTTAGTGGTTACTTGGTTATGTTTTCTTAACTTCTTATGACATTTTCGAGACAAAGTGTTGAGAAATTATCTCGCAAAAAATGAAATGTGTAAATTAGGTTGAGGTTTTTTTAAAAAAACACAAAATATCCTTTTTCTTTTTAAAATCTGTAGGTTGCAATAAAAATAATTGATAAAACACGATTAGATTCAAGCAACTTGGAGAAAATCTATCGTGAGGTTCAGCTAATGAAGCTTCTGAACCACCCACACATCATAAAGCTTTACCAGGTAAGGGCTCAGGTTGTCTTGCTAATCCTGGCAAATGTGTTCTATTTTATTTTCAACAATGTAAGTCTGCAATTTCTGAAGGTGGCTTCCCTTTTGGAGGGTGTGTGGAAGTTGGGTATTTGGTTGTGTAAGGTAAATAGATTGAGTTTTCTATAGACTGTGCAGATATATTTACAATTATTTTATTGTTTTTGGATCACAATTGAGGTTTGCTACATTAGAATTTTATTAAGTGTCCTAACTTGATCCAGTTTTAAATGTGTACAGGTCTGTTGTTAAATTTGCTTTACTGTGAAAACAAATGCATCTATAGGTATTGCCACAGGTCACACATTTAGTGTAAAAGGACAAATTTGAGTGAAACTTCCCGCCGTTCTTACCGGTTTTTCATTGGTTTATCTTTGCAAGGACAGTTGTGAGCATTTGTTTTCCCTGTTTAAACTCTTCTGTGAAAAACAGAGATGAAAATACTTTCCCATAGTAAGAGCGAGGAGCTTGTCATTTAATCCGAGCTAGGAACGTGCCTCACTCTGCCCATCTGTTGGTTTATTTTGTGACTTAATTTTTGTTCTCATGTTGAAATTAATAACTTATATCTTCAGGAAATAAGTACTAATTTAATTAGAACAGCAAAGCAGCCTTTTCACCTCCCTAATGATAAATGACCACTTTTGCAAAGGTGAAATCAAGTCTTCTTTCAGAAGAATAAGCTCTTTGCAGGTGCTGTTCATCCATTCGTGCTGGGCTGGCCTTCCTCTTAATGATTCTTACACAGTGGAATCTGAGATGACTCTGGGATGTGGTTGTGTTGTGCAATTGCGACGGCTTGGTGTACAGTGTGGTAGGAGAGAGAATTAAGATTTGAAGTGATCCCTCTAAGCCTCTGCACTAGATTAAATTAAAAGTAGCGGTCTTGCGGGAGCCTGTGCCCACCGTGGTGCCGTTTACTGGGCGTCTTTCAGTGCAGAATCATGCCAAAACGCCCGGTTCGTGTTTTGTTTCTGTTGTCATCTTTAAGTTGTGCGCTCCCTGGTCGCTGATGTCACTGCCTGTGCAGCGTGCCCGGCCCATTTCCTCGGGAGTGGGCTGAGCTGGTTTTGTTTTTGACTTTGCTCAAGGGCTGAACTCTAATGGCAGTACCTTCCTTTTCTTCCTGTTCTTCCCCTTTGCCCATTGTGTGGAATTAGCTCTGTTAAAGAAACAAATTGCCCATGTGATTGGTGCTGGAGGCCTTTGCTGGGGGTACACTTACTTACGGCTGCTGTTCGGGATTCTTAACTATTTGAAGATGATAGAATTCAGTGGTGTAGCAATGACTTTTATTCCTCTTGTTTTGACGCTAGTGTCTAATTTCTTTCTTTCTTTTTTTTTTTTTTTGAGACAGAGTCTCCCTCTGTCGCCCAGGCTGAAGTACAGTGGTGCGATCTCGGCTCACTGCAACCTCTGCCTCACGGCTTCAAGCGATTTTTCTGCCTCAGCCTCCTGGGTAGCTGGGACTACAGGTGCCTGCCACCACACCTGGCTCATTTTTGTATTTTTAGTAGAGACGGGGTTTTGCCATGTTGGCCAAGCTGGTCTCGATCTCCTGACCTCATGATCTGTCCACCTTCGCCTCCAAAGTGCTGGGATTACAGGCGTGAGCCGCTGTGCCAGGCTGCTAGTGTCTAATTTTCATTCTGCTGGCCAGGGCTCCAGAACCCTGCTGAGACACGTTCCCCCTTTTTTTAGGCTTTTAAAAAGTTCAAACACTTTGACTCTGAATTCTTTTCCTCCTCCTGCCTTTCTTCAGTTGGGGACGGGGTGAGCGGTGGCCTTCGAGTCATCCCACCACTCACAGGTGCAGTTAAAATTCTTGCCAAACTGCTAAAATTTATACAACACTTTCCTTACTAGATTTACAGCTCAAAGCAGCTATCTTTGAAGCATTTTTTGGAGTGGGGGATGGAGTCTCGCTTTGTCAGCCAGGCTGGAGGGCAGTGGTGCAGTCTCCGCTCACTGCTACCTCTGCCTGCTGGGTTCAAGCGATTTTCCTCCCTCAGCCTCCCAAGAGGCTGGGACTACAGGCGCAGGCCGTGATGTCTGCCCAATTTTTGTATTTTTGGTAGAGATGGAGTTTCGCCACATTGGCTAGGCTGGTCTCGAACTCCTGACCTCAAGTGATCTGCCTGGGTAATCCCAGAGTGCTGGGATTACCAGCGTGAGCCACCACGCCCAGCACAAAACATCTTTTTAAAGGAGTAACTGTATATTTTGAACCCAAAGAAATCTTTTTTCATAAGAATATATTGTCTCACCCTCTCCAAAAATTTTCAGTACTCACAGACATAAGTTATATTTTAAATCTTTTTTTAAGCAAAATAAAGTTATTGATCAATAAATGAACTTTGAAAGGCTGCATTGGCACGGCACGGCTGTCGTGTGGCTTCATGCTGAGTGATGGGCTGTGCGCCGAGCAGCCCACCTCAACTGACCTGGCACAGCCGGCTTCTCACAGCCTGGTTCGTCCTATCAATAAAGCAGGTGGGAATGGGGCATGCGTTCTCTCTTACTCAGGTGGCTCTGACCGTCGACTGGAATAGTCTGTTGCCTGCTAGCCTTCTATAAAGCCCAGCAGACTTCTAGCAGTCTCCTCCTCTGTAGCCCTTATTTATAATTTTGTCTCCGTTTTTTTGAGACAGAATCTTGCCCTGTTGCCCAGGCTGGAGGGCAGTGGTGTGATCTCGGCTCGCTGCAACCTCTGCCTCCCGGGTTCAAATGATCCTTCTGCCTCAGCCTCCTGAGTAGCTGGGATTACAGGCACCCACCACCACACCTAGCTAGTTTTTGTCTTTTTTGTAGAGATTGGGTCTTGCCATGTTGACCAGGCTGGTCTCGAACTCCTGGGCTCAGGCGACTCTCCTGCCTTGGCTTCCCAAAGTGCTAGGATTACAGGTGTGAGCCACCACACCCGACCTAAGCAGTCTCAAGTTGTAGGTGAGGTGACTTGAATTAAATATGACCACAGAGGAGAATTCTAATATATTTAGGCTTTTTTGTAAGAGCAAAGGCGTATCAGGATAGTCAGTGAGGAATTCACCTCTGATTTTTTAAAGCCGTCTTTGTGAGTAGGAATTTCCTGTATTTTTTTTTTTTTAAATTGCGGAAGTTTTTCTTTTTCTTTGCATTTTTAAATGATGAATGCCTTTGTCCTGGAGAAGTTAAAAATTTACTGGGGTTCTGGTGGGTTATTGGTAGCGCTGGCGTCTGCCTTTTCTATGTGGTTAAACTCAGGCCTCTCTTCTTTAGGTTATGGAAACAAAGGACATGCTTTACATCGTTACTGAATTTGCTAAAAACGGAGAAATGTTTGGTAAGCCACACTCGTTTTTAATATCCATTGAAAGAAAATGGCATGATGGTGTCTGGATTTGCGCAGCTGGTGTTTGGGCCCACTCGTCCTGGGACCGTGAGGTGTCTCCAGGCCCTCCTGGGTGCTGGGGGCTTTGCCCTGGGGCTCTAGCTTGTTTTGTGGTTCCTCAGATTATCTGACTTCCAACGGGCACCTGAGTGAGAATGAGGCGAGGAAGAAGTTCTGGCAGATCCTGTCGGCCGTGGAGTACTGTCACGACCACCACATCGTCCACCGGGACCTCAAGACGGAGAACCTGCTGCTGGATGGCAACATGGACATCAAGCTGGCAGGTATGGAGGCTCCGGGCCCAAGGGTGGGGGCGGGGGCATCAGGCTGGCAGGCATGGAGGCCCTGGGGTGGGAGCGTGCCCGTAAGCTGCCCCAGCTTCTTACGCTCTGAAACCGCAGCCCCTTGCCATGCGCGGTTTAACTTCATCCATCGGTTTCTTTGCCTCTCAGATTTTGGATTTGGGAATTTCTACAAGTCAGGAGAGCCTCTCTCCACATGGTGTGGGAGCCCCCCGTATGCCGCCCCGGAAGTCTTTGAGGGAAAGGAATATGAAGGCCCCCAGCTGGACATCTGGGTAGGAGCCAGACCCCCTGCCGGAGGCCATGTTCCCTGGGGGTGCTGTGTTCCCTGGGGCGCTGGCGCTGATGTGGCTCCATGGTCCTCTGCAGAGCCTGGGCGTGGTGCTGTATGTCCTGGTCTGCGGTTCTCTCCCCTTCGACGGACCCAACCTGCCGACGCTGAGACAGCGGGTGCTGGAGGGCCGCTTCCGCATCCCGTTCTTCATGTCTCAAGGTGGGTCGTGGGGTCCCCTGTGGACAGGGGCCTGTGTCTCCTGCAGCCCCTGTGCAGCTGGCTTCTGAGTCCGTGTTGAGTCTGGGACTGAGGCCCAGCTTACTGTGGGCCGCAGGAGAAAGCCCGCCCCTGGTGCCTTCTCAGGATGGGTGGGTGGTGCCCTCACTGTATAGGCTGGTGCCTTGCTTCTTCTGTCCCTGCCCAGCAGCCTTGCCCAGGTGCCAGCCTCATCTCTGAGTCTAACCCACTGGCTGTGGTACTCCTGGCTTTTCTGTGTCGGTGCTCAGGCACGGGGCGTGGCAGAAGGGTGGACCCAAGTAGTTCTCTGTGTGGTGGATACAAGTGTGGCAGGCAGCCCCCAGGGACTGGATCCTGTCTGGCGCCTCGCCTTGGGTGGCAGGACTGAGCTAATGGCCTAGTCCCTGCTCCTGGCCCCTGGCATACCAGCCCAGGTAGGGTGGTGGGTGGGAGCGCAGGCACAGTCCCAGTTGCCCTGGCTCAGCCTCTCGGCCCCTCCGCAGACTGTGAGAGCCTGATCCGCCGCATGCTGGTGGTGGACCCTGCCAGGCGCATCACCATCGCCCAGATCCGGCAGCATCGGTGGATGCGGGCCGAGCCCTGCCTGCCGGAGCCCTGCCTGCCGGGGCCCTGCCTGCCGGGGCCTGCCTGCCCCACCTTCTCCACACACAGCTACAGCTCCAACCTTGGCGACTACGATGAGCAGGCGCTGGGCATCATGCAGACTCTGGGCGTCGACCGGCAGAGGACGGTGGAGGTGAGCTTGGCCACCCTTGCCCCGGCCTCGCATGCAGGGGCTGGGCAGCTTTCTCGGGGAAGCAGGTGCTCACCAGCCGAGTTAAAACAGGAGTGCAGCTAATTTAGGGGCCAGCTTGTCCACCCCGTTAAAGGATATTCTCAGTCACCCAAGAATAACCTGGAGCGGGTGGGCCCTGGGGCTCCCGCTGCCCCCGAGCTGACCTCAGCTTCTCTTGTCCCCAGTCACTGCAAAACAGCAGCTATAACCACTTCGCTGCCATTTATTACCTCCTCCTCGAGCGGCTCAAGGAGTATCGGAATGCCCAGTGCACCCGCCCCGGGCCTGCCAGGCAGCCACGGCCTCGGAGCTCAGACCTCAGCGGCTTGGAGGTGAGCAGGCATCTCCTCCTGGGCCCCAGGCTTCCTCCCCCGTCAGGCACCAGCTTGGAGAGCGGTTCCTTGTGTGGGCAGCGGGTCCCAGGCTGCGTGGGGAAGGGGGTGCCAGCTGTTGGGGGCTGGACCCTGCCCAGAGGCCACTTGCTCCTGACTCATCCCCGGGGCCGGCTTGTCATGCCACCCCCTGGCAGCATAGCACCAGCACGTGGTCCTGAGCCAGCCCGGCCAGCCTGTGCCCCTCAGTCAGCCGTCACGCCCACCCACCAGGCAGCTCATGGTCCAGACAGCAGCCAGCTTGTTTCTCCTCTTGATGGCGCCGGCGGTCCCCGGCCACTCCCCTGATGGCCTCTTTCCTGTCTCCGGCCCAGGTGCCTCAGGAAGGTCTTTCCACCGACCCTTTCCGACCCGCCCTGCTGTGCCCACAGCCGCAGGCCTTGGTGCAGTCCGTCCTGCAGGCCGAGATGGACTGTGAGCTCCAGAGCTCTCTGCAGTGGGTGAGTGCCCAGAGTGGGCGTGCAGAGGGCTCGCCTCAGCCTGGCGTGGTGCCCTCAGTGTGTGCATCTGGCTCTCCCGGAGCCCAAAAAGTCACTGGCTTGTCTCTTCAATGCAGCCCCTGTTCTTCCCGGTGGATGCTGGCTGCAGCGGAGTGTTCCGGCCCCGGCCCCTGTCCCCCAGCAGCCTGCTGGACACGGCCATCAGTGAGGAGGCCAGGCAGGGGCCCGGCCTCGAGGAGGAGCAGGATGCTCAGGAGTCCCTGCCTGGCAGCACGGGTCGGAGGCACACCCTGGCCGAGGTCTCCACCCGCCTGTCCCCACTCACCGCTCCATGTAAGTGGCCCTGGGGACCCAGGAGGACACTGATGGGTGGGCTCACAGTCGATGGGAGAGCAGGCTTATTTAGAATGCACACTTTGCCTGGCAGCCTCTCAGGGTTGGACTTTGGATTTGCCACTTGTTTTAGTCCCTGAGACCACATCGTGGATGCTTAAAGTCTGCCCTGCCTGTGCCCCTTCTAGCAGAGGACACGGCATGGGGTTTGGCCGCCAGCAGGGTCTTCCCAGGCCACCCCCGGGTGCTGGGAGGGTAGCCCCCGGGTCCGAGGTCCTCTGCGACCCGCCACCTGAAGCTGCACATGATGGTGGCCTGCCTTTGGGGATGCCTGGGCTCTGGTTGCCTCGAGCCCTGTTCCGGCCAGGTTGTGGGCAGGGATGGGGAGGTCGGGCAGCCTGTTCCTCTGCACGCAGCATCAAGAGAACCCTGCTCCCCCACAGGCATAGTCGTCTCCCCGTCCTCCACAGCGAGCCCTGCAGAGGGAACCAGCTCGGACAGTTGTCTGACCTTCTCCGCGAGCAGAGGCCCTGCAGAGCTCAGTGGCACCCCGGCCACTCAGGGGCTGCTGGGCCCCGGCTCCCCGGTCAGGTTGGCCTCGCCCTTTCTGGGGTCACAGTCTGCCACCCCGGCGCTGCAGGCCCAGGGGGGCTTGGGAGGAGCTGTCCTGCTTCCTGTCAGCTTCCAAGAGGGACGGAGGGCGTCGGACACCTCACTGACTCAGGGTGAGCCATGCTCCTCTCACACTCACCTGCACTTTCCCCAGGGCACCATGCGTGCCTCTGGCAGTATGTGACTTTGTCCTTGATGGCGGACGGCGCCCCCCATATTCTCCACCAGACCTGGGTGGGACTTGCAGTGCTCTGGGCAGGCTGGGGTGTGCCCTGCTCTGGAGGTCACAGCCTGCTGGGACGGAAGCATACTTGGGTCACTGAGCACATGACCTCCGAGACTGCTTCTGAAAGCACAGGAGATGATCCCGTGCTGAGCAGCCCCTGCCCACCTGGAGCAGGCATGGGGGTACGGAGGGCCCCTGGCTTCCGTCAGACTCCTCTCCGGCCATGCTTGTGTCCCCCGTCCTTTCCTTGCCCTACCTGAGGCTTGGAAACCCCCATAAGCCAAGGGCTGTGGATGCTGGACTGGGAGGCGGGAGGCCGCTGACCTCCTGACCTGGTCTCACCGCAGGGCTGAAGGCCTTTCGGCAGCAACTGAGGAAGACCACGCGGACTAAAGGGTTTCTCGGGCTGAACAAAATCAAGGGGCTCGCCCGCCAGGTGTGCCAGGCCCCCGCCAGCCGTGCCAGCAGGGGTGGCCTGAGCCCCTTCCACACACCTGCACAGAGTCCGGGCCTGCACAGCAGTGCGGCCGGCAGCCGGGAGGGCCGGAGCCTGCTGGAGGAGGTGCTGGAGCAGCAGAGGTAGGGCCTGCCCCCACCCTGGGACCCTGGGAGGGCACACGGCAGGTTGTCTCCTGGAGGAACCTCATCTGCTGAGCGGTTCCCTCCTCCGTGTAGCCCAGCAGGCACCCCCGGCCCCAGCCAGGGAAGTGTGGGGGGCACAGGTCCTAGGTGCTGAGCCACGGGGTGCAGCAGGCAGATGTGTCTTTTAAAGCCCTGGGGTGGGCAAGGGTGACGGCGAGTGAGAGCACCTCGTGACTACACCTCTGAGCTGCTGAGAGGCCAGGTGGAGAAGGCAAGGTGGGGTGCCGCGGGGAATCAGCCACGCACCTGCCCTCGGCAGCCACAGCCAGCAGCTCCACAGGCGGGCCCTGCCACACAGGCACTCGGAAACCCGAGAACCCTGTGAGCCGGCTCGGTGACCGCCCGTCTTCTGTTCCCACAGGCTGCTCCAGTTACAGCACCACCCGGCCGCCACGCCCAGCTGCTCACAGGCCCCCCAGCCGACCTCCACCCCATTTGTGATAGCCCCCTGTGATGGCCCTGGGGCCACGCTGCTCCCCAGCACCCTCTTCATGTCGGGGCTCCCACTGCTGCCACCCCCACTCCTGCAGGCCGGCGTCTCCCCCGTGGCCTCGGCCGCGCAGCTCCTGGACACACAGCTGCATATTGGCGCCAGCCCCACCGCCCTCCCCGCTGCGCTCTCGCCAGGCCCGGCCAGGCTGGCCCCAGGCTGTGAGCCCCTGGGGCTGCTGCAGGGGGACTTCGAGATGGAGGACCTGAGCCCCTGCCCCCTGGGGACCTTCGTCCTGGTGCAGTGAGGGCGGCCCCGCGTCCTGGCTCGGACACTGACTCTTCCAAGCAATAACTTCAGAGTAGGTGAAGACATCTGGACTCAAAAGCCAAGAACTTTCTAGAAGCAAAACAAGCAATACGTTAGGTGTTTTGGCTTTTTAGTTTATTTTTGTTTAATTTTTTTCTTGCACTGAGTGACCTCAACTCTGAGTAGGGACTGGAAACTTTAAGAAGAAAGATAATTGAGCGGTGTGTCTTGGGGGCGGGGGCAGGAGGGGAGCAGGGTGGAGGAGGACATGTGCAGCTCCGTGGTGTGGGGATCAGCCCCTCTGCAGCTTCGTCGTGGTTGAGATGATTACGTCGGACATCCACGGAAACAAGCGGGCGCGTTGTCTGTCGTCCACGTCTGTGTGTGTGTGCCCGCGTGTGTGTGTGCACATGTGGGCATTGATTACTATCCATTTCTTTAGTTAACACTCACCACTTCCTGATTCATGCTTTAATGAAAACTGTGAACTTTCGGCTTCATGTATCCGTTTTAAAGCAGCTCTACGTGGTCAGCCCAGGCAAAGATCAGCTACACGTTCTTGGAATTCTCTCCCCTGAAATCAAAACCTGGAAGACACTTTTTTCCTTATTTTAGGTGAGTTTTATAAACTGCTCAAGAGTTAGTTTTCCAGGGCTTTGGAGGAACCGCAGGAAGAACCTCAAAGACGGCAGAGGTGATGTCAAAGTGCTGGGGGCTCCGTCCTAAGGGTCACTTGGCCCCCAGTCCCCGGGGCAGAAGCCCAGAAGCTTCTTCCTGCTGCACCTCGAGTTCGGCTGCTGAAGACCTTCATGCATTTCATGGTGGGGTCCCCAAGAACACCTGACTTGGGTCAGGCTGTGCAATAGCAGGGGCCGACTGCAGGCCAGGCAGCTAGGAGACACTCGGGGCTCAGGGCCGCCTGCCTGGGCCAGGACCCTCCCGAGAAATCGCCCGGTCCCTGCGTGGGCTCTTTGGCTTTTGTTCAAGGAAGGTAAAGAGACGTTTAGGTCAGTGTTTTTAAGTTTTTGTTTCTTTTTTTTTTTAAAGCAGACCCTGTGCATGCATCTGCACGGGTGACAGGTAGACACTACTTCGTGGTTAGGTTTTGTGCACTTTGTGTTTAGGTTTCCGCTTCCCTCACTCATGGTAAGAAGCGTCCCTGTCAGCACGAGGCGTGCATTGAGGAAGGGGCCCCAGGGCCTTCCTCCCTCGGTGCTGGGGTGGAGGCGGCAGGAAGGGGCGGCCCTCACCTGGCAGGTTGGGGCACACCACTGGCAGGTGGACTCCGAGAGGCTCCACCAGCCAGAAGCCTCTGGAAGGCAACAAAGGAAATGCTGCTCCCACTCGCCCTGAACCCAGCCCAGGTGCCTTCAGCTGCTTCGGCTTCTTACACCCCGCAGTGTTAAACAGAGGCGTTGGGAAAGGGGAAAGGCGGGTATTTTTAAAAGCCAAAGATTGACCCAGTTACTTGAGGGTAGGGAGGCGGGCCGGTTCGAGAGGCGGTCCCTGGGCTGCCAGCGCCCACCGGGGGCTGCGCCTGTGCTGTGCCGGGGGGAGCTGGCCGCCCCCGTTCCTGCTGCTACTGCTGCTCTGGCGGGGCGAGGGGCTGTCTGGAGGGCAGACCTGGGGCCTCGCCGCCGAGAAAACACCAAAGTCTCCTTTCGCTCATAGAGAAATTTTTGGGATGGGAGAGCATCCAGACCATCGTGGGGCAGCCAGGCCCTTGCCTTCATTTTTACAGAGGTAGCACAATTGATTCCAACACAAAACCCCTCCCCTTTTCAAAACGATTTCTGTTCTAATGCCACAGATCAAAGGCCTCAGACACCATGTGTGTTTCCTCTTCGAAGCAATGACAAGCACTTTACTTTCGTAGTGGTTTTGTTTTTCCTTACTGCTGTAGAACCTCTTTTGGAGGACGTTAAAGGCGTGTTTTTCTTGTTTTTTTAAGAGTGTGTGATGTGTGTTTTGTAGATTTCTTGACAGTGCTGTATACAGACGGCAATGCAGTAGCCTATTTAAAGACACTACGTGATCTGATTGAGATGTACATAGTTTTTTTTACCATAACTGAATTATTTTACCTCTTACGTTAACATGAGAAATGTATGCCAAATAATTAGTTGATGTATGTTTTTTAATTTAATATTTAAATAAAATATTTGGAAGGAAAACGCCTTGACTTTTCCCCTTCCTCCCTCATCCCTGTGGGAGGTCTTTCCCTCTGAGCAGCTTCCCTGAGAGGCCACATCTTCCAGGTCTGTGGGAGTTTCAGATTTTAAAGGGGAGGTCACGGAGCTAAGACCTGCATTCCACCTCACCGCAGGGAACTAACGGCCTTCTGGCTGCAGGTGACCCCTGCCCTGCAGCCACAGGTGGCTCCGGGGTCTGCCTGCTCCTCAGGACCCCTCCCTGGAGGCCAGGCCAGGCCGTGGTGTCAGTCACCGAGTCTCGGCACCGCCCAGGGCTGCCAGTGCTGTCCATTCTTACCCCATCCTCCTCTGTCAGGGTCTGAGTCTGGTTATAAATGAAGCAGTTGGAAGAATCTCACGGCCAAACCATTTCCTGGTCCTTAAAAGAGTTCATCACCTTCTAGCTATAGTGCAGGCGTTGCAGCTCATAAGAACAAAGGATTTGTTCATGTTGGCACCTGGTGGATATTTTGGTTAAAAAAGTTCTTCAGCCTCTTGGCGTCCAGGAAGGTGGTCGTTACCAAAGCGGACTCCTTGTGCACTGCTGGTGGGAGGGTTGGGTGGCGCAGCCTTTATGGAAAGCAGTGTACCAGTTCCTCAAAAGATGAGACAGAACCAAGCTAGCCGCTTCTCTCTCCGTGGTGTATACCCGAATCGCTGAAGGCAGGGTCCAGGGATGTTTGTACACCCCTGTTCATAGCAGCATGACAGCCAAGCTAGGAAGCTGCCAAGTGGTGGTCGGCCGAGGAAGGGGCCAAGAAGCGCACCTGACAGTGGAACAGGCCTCTGCCCGACGCGGCCCACAACCGGGGTGGACCCTGAGGACACTATGCTCAATGCAACAAGCCAGTCACAAAAGAACACAGACCCCAGAGGTCCTTATTGTGGTCAGATTCACAGAGATAGAAGCTGGAGTGGTAGGTGCCGAGGCTGAGCGAGGGTCGCAATTCCGACCAGAGATGAATAGGTCAGAATTGCGGTTTCAGAGGAGGGAAACGCTCTGGAGGTGGACGGTGGTGACGGCTGCATAACAATATGAACATTCTTCATGCCACTGAACCATGTACCCAAAAGTGGTCAAAATGATAAGTTGTATGTTATGTGTATTTTACTACAGTTTTTCTTTTTTGAGCCTTGCTTTGTTGCCCAGGCTGGAGTGCAATGGCGTGATCTTGGCTCACTGCAACCTCCGCCTCCCAGGTTCAAGTGATTCTCCAGCCTCAGCCTCCTGAGTAGCTGGGATTACAAGTGCCCACCATCATGCCTGGCTAATTTTTGTATTTTTAGAAGAGACAGGGTTTCACCATGTTGGTCAGGCTGGTCTCGAACTCCTGACCTCAAGTGATCTGCCTGTCTCAGCCTCCCAAAGTGCTGGGATTACAGGTGTGAGCCACTGTGTCTGGCCCACAATTTTTTTTTAAAAAGAAAGGAAGTTTTTTCTCAAGGGAGCAGATGACTAGTGAGTGGATAGCAGCTCCCACGAGGAGAGCAGGCAGGAGCCATGGGGGGGCAGGCGCAGGGCAGGCCGCTGTCGCTGGTAATGTTGGCGGGGTGTAAGTGTGGCCAGGGCCAGCCTTATTGTTCCTGGAACCCTGCTCAGCCAGGGTGTCCTGGTCCTTGGGACAGCCTGCCCTGGGACAGCCCCTCATGCAGCTGGATGGTGGGAAGGAGGGGAAGGGGCTGTGTCTTCTGAGTGTCCTCTAAGAACAGAGTGGTAGCCTCTGAGGTCCTGGCTGTGGCTGGCGCTGGCTTAGTGGCTTGGGGCCGTCTGACAGGGAGGCTGAACCAGGGATCAGTACTCCTGAGTGAGTGGAGGCCCCAGCTCCGGCCGTGCCTGTGTCGGGGAGGGCGGCAGGGGAGCTGGGGGTCCACGGAGCTGTTCTGTCTCCAGGCAGCCTGGTCACCCCCCTCAGAGCGGGGCCAGCTTGGGACACTGAGGTCAGGCTGTGTGGCACCTGCTGAACAGAGTTGGGTGGCTGTGCCGAGGGCATCTGTGTTTACTGTTTGGGAGCATGGAGCCGTGGAAACCGGGAACCTCGAGCCAGAACCTCTTGTCATGTCGTGCATGCGAATTCACAGTGGGACCTGCCTGTGTCTCAGCTCCTCGTGGGGACGACAGTGTCTTGTGGTGCTCCAGGATGTCCCGAGCAGCCCCGGCAGGCGGCCGCTCCTTAGGACACAGCATTGCCGAAGCCACCCCTGCATCTCTCATGCTTGGCCGCTTCTTCCAGAACTCGTGATGGGTGCCACAAAGATGGCGATGATGACGGTGGTGATGCTGATGGTGATGATGGTGACGGTGGTGGTGGTGACGACAGTGATGCTGATGATGGTGATGATGATGGTGATGATGGTGACGATGGTGACGATGGTGATGGTGACGATGGTGATGGTGATGGTGATGATGGTGACGATGGTGATGGTGATGATGGTGATGGTGACGGTGGCGATGATGGTGATGATGGTGATGATGGTGATGACGGTGATGATGGTGACAGTGATGATGGTGATGATGGTGATGATGGCGATGGTGATGATGATGACGATGGTGATGACAGTGATGATGGTGTTGGTGATGATGATGGTGATGATGGTGATGATGGTGACGATGGTGATGGTGATGATGGTGACGATGGTGATGATTGTGACAATGGTGATGGTGATGATGGTGACGATTGTGACAATGGTGATGGTGATGGTGACGATGGTGACGATGGTGATGACGATGGTGATGGCGATGGTGACGATGGTGGTGATGATGATGGTGATGGTGATGATGGTGACGACAGTGACGATGGTGACAGTGATGATGGTGATGATGGTGATGATGGCGATGGTGACGATGATGATGATGGTGATGACAGTGATGATGGTGATGGTGATGACGGTGATAATGATGGTGATGACAGTGATGATGGTGATGATGACGGTGATGATGGTGATGACAGTGATGATGGTGATGACAGTGATGATGGTGATGACGGTGATGACAGTGATGATGGTGATGATGGTGATGGCGGTGATGATGGTGATGACAGTGATGATGGTGATGGTGATGACGATGGTGATGACAGTGATGATGGTGATGGTGATGATGGTGATGATGGTGATGATGGTGATGACAGTGATGATGGTGATGGTGATGATGATGGTGATGATGGTGATGATGGTGATGACAGTGATGATGGTGATGATGGTGATGACGGTGATGACGGTGATGATGGCGATGATGATGGTGATGACTGTGACGATGGCAAAGATGGTGATGGTGACAGAGGCTTGGAATTCTCAGGTTGAAAGTTGGAGCCCCACTCATGGGGCCTCTTGCAGGCCTTGTAGGACCCCAGAATTCTGCCCTGGGCTTCTTGATCTGCTCTTGAGTCATTTCAGTCCCTCCGCTGGGGTGGTCCCAAGGGGCAGGACAGTTGGCCACACCCATGGGTGTGTTTGCCCCTTGCCTGAGGGTCCCTTCATGGCCCCTTGCCCAGGTCTGGCACTGTGAGCGTCCGCCATCCACCCCGGCGTTTGGCAGGATTTTCCCATTGTGGACATGCTCCTTCCTCCTGGGCCTGGCCGGGCAGAGCTGGGCCCTGGCACAACCTGGGCACACCCCTAGTACTTGATGGCACTTCTGAGCCATCCAGGGCTCTTGAGGTTCTAAGACTTTCTCTTTCGGTCTGGTGAGGGCCAGGCACAGCCTGGAGCTTCAACGGAAGCAAGTGGCTGCTGTGTACTTGCTGTACAAGGCGAAGGTGTGCCCAGCCAGCCCGAGTGCAGAGTGGCACGGTGGCTGAGGATGCAGCCTCCATGGCCACACGCCTGGGCTTGCCTTCTGGTGCTGCAGCTTTCCAGCCCTTCGCTGATGAAGTGATGGCCACACGCACTCCGTGTTGACAGGCAGCTCCCGTGACAAGGGTGCCGACCATGGTGGGTGTGCAGCGGGCCCTGAGGGGACACGGTGGCGTCCCCGGGTGCTGCCCCAGCAAGAACCGGGCCAGACACCCACCAGGGAAGCACTGTGGTGGGCCAGACTGGTGGTGACCTGGCACCTGCTGCGTCCCGTCCGTCCCGTCGTGGACGCACCTCCTCTCACAGGGGCAGGAGCCGGACCTTGGCCTCGAGGCGCCTGGGCCCTGCCTCTGTGCTTTCCTGCCTGCGGGAAGCGTGGTGCTCCCCTCGCTAGGCCGTGGATAGGAAGAAGGCTTCCTGCCAGTCAGGAATACTGTCTCCCCGCCGGCTTCTCAGGGTGGGGGTGGGGAGAGAGGGGATGTCCCGGTCAAGCGGGGCCCCCGGGGCCAGCCCGGAGGAGCTGAAGGAAGTTCCTCCTGTTTCTGCTGCGCTCACCTTCTCGGAGGCAGGAACTGACTCGCTTGGGGTGGAAGGAAAGAGCTGGCCTCTTGGTTTTTCTTCCAGAATAACTCCGGGCTGTTTAGCGGGCGTGCCGTGCCGCTGAGGGGTGGTGAGCACATCGCCCTGCGAGTGGCCCCACCTCTGACCTTTGGTGCGGGGTGGTCCTGGGGAAGGTGGCCAGGCCTGGCGCTCAGAGACTGGGAGGCTGGGCTTGGGTTCCTGCTTATGCAGCTGCTGTGGCGCCGGCAGAGAGGAGAGAGGGAGAGACAGAGGGAGAGAAGAGGAAAGGAGAGAGAGG